GCTGGCTTATGCAGACAAAAAGTCCTCACCCCTGGTCCCTGATTGATCTGTCCTGGTGCAAATGAGGACTCCAAATCCTTGCAGTTTGATTAATTCAAACAGAACTGTCCTGATTGGTCAGAATAAAGCCACTGTGGTTGGCTGCGCTATGTAGCTTCAAATGGATGGGGGAAAGCTCAGGCCTATTGGTTGAAATAGGATTCCAGGAACTCCTTTATAATGGCTGTCTCAGAGGGCAGAAACAATGCAGGCAGGTAGTTTAGAGCAGAGGTAGGCAAGTTTAATGCCAGCTTCTCCATGAAGGGCAGTTTGTGTAAGAGGCTCCTGTGTAGAAATGCCTGCTCAGGCCTCATGGCTTTGGCTGTCAGCTGACTTTCTGCACTTCCACTTTACAACAAACCTAGTATTAGTCCATTTACCAACTCTTGTTTCTCTTTATTTTTTCCTTTCACTTTGGTTTTTTTCTCAATAGATATTTATTAAACTCTCACTATCTGCTGACACTGTACTTGCTTATCTGGTGAGTTGTAAGCATATACTCTCATTTTGTATGGTGGCATTTTCAAAATGTGTTAACTCACGATTCATCTCCTGAGTCTGAATTTGAAGCCTTAGTCATAATGTGCTTTGCTATATATGGAATAGTGTCTTCCTAGGCAATGCATTTGCAACAGATTTGTGTTATTTTGAAAATATTAATGTTTGTCTCTAAAGCAGGGTTGGGTCAGGATGAGGCCATTGATATAGAATAAAATTATCTGAGTCTTAGTGGGGCAACTATAACTGTTTCTACCAAGAATACAATGATGCATTATTTTTACCTTATGTTTGCCATCACTAATTGCTTGTTTTAATACTTTTCCTGCCCAATATTTATTATGAAGCATTTAAATCCTTATTTTTAAAAAACTATGGTTTCCATTCTTATTTCTATCAGTGATGCTTTTTGTGTGTGTATGCATGTGCCAGTCTTTTCCTCTTCAAGTCCCAATGATCTATTGTTTTTTCTCATTCAATCTAAAGAAAGATCTTGCAGCATTTTCTTTTGAGATATTTCTCATCATGCTTTTTTTTTCTTTCTGTTTTCCATTTAATTCATGCTTTTATCATCTTGTCTCTAGATTGTAGAGTTCATTTTTTTACCCAATCTCCTTATCTATAAACTAGAGGCCCTGTGCACAAAATTCATGCACTGGGGAAAGTGGGTCATTCAGCCCAGCCTGTGCCCTCTCGCAGCCTGGGACCCTTTGGGGGACATAACAGTGCTCCAAGTGGCAGGTGGCCAGGGAGGAGCTTGAATCAGGGCCAGGCGCCGTGCCTGCCTCTCATGCTCATCCTGGCCTGCTGCGCCTGCTGCCGCAGAGTCCGGAGAGCTCTGCCATGGCAGCTGCATTCGCGAGCCATAAGCCCAGCTTCTGGCTGGGTGGCGCTCCTTTGTGAGAGTGCACTGACTGCCAGAGGGCAGCTCCTGTGTTGAGCATCTGCTTCCTGGTGGTCATTGTGCATCCTAGTGACAGGTCATTCCAGTTGTTCCTCTGTAACAGTCACTTAGGCTTTTATTATATAGACTAGAGGCCCATTGCAGGAAGATTCCTGCAATAGGGCTTCCTGCTGAGGTTGCTGCCCCGCCTGCTTCCCTTCCTTCTCCCAGCCCCTCCTGCTTCCCTCCCTTCTCCTCTGCTTGCTTCTTCACAGCTTTGCTGCCTTTTGCAGCATTTGGCTTCTTTCTATGCTGACTTCAGTCTTTGCTCTGGCCTGGGTATGCAAATTAACCACCATCTTGGTTGGGTTGATTTGTATACTCACCCTAATTGGCTGGTGGGCATGGCTTATGGGCATAGCGAAGGTGCGATCAATTTGCATATTTCTCTTTTATTAGGTATGATAGGATTCTCCCCTCTTTTTCTCCTACTTGTACATCACTATCAGGTGCATCTCTCTCCTGCATAGAAACTTCCTATGGCTTCATGTGACCTTTAGGATAAAGTTCAAGCTTTTTTCCTGGGTTTTTAAGTCATCCACAGTTGGCTATGGGCTATGTTTTTCTGAACTTCCTTTCTACTTGTTTCTAATCTGGTCCTCTGGTGCTGGTTTTCCTTTGTTTTTTTAATTGGCCCTAATGCATTTTGTGCATTGAGCCCTGCTTATCCTTTTCTGGCTCTTCTCTACAATGCCCTCCTCCCTCCTAATGTACTAGTAATCTATCCCTATTCTTTAGGGCTTTTCTATCTGTACTTGCCTTCTGACCCCACTCCAAGCACAAAAATGCTGCTGACCTCTGACCCTCCTCAGCATGTTCAAACCCACTCTTAGTCACTTGGTCCTAAACTGAGGCACACTGGCAACCATGGTTATACTAGTTAACATTGTATATGTATATGCAGGAGCCAGATCTTTTGTTTTTGTGTTCCCAGCAGCTTCTAACAAGTGATTCTCAACTGTGACTGTCCATTAGTATCACTTAGGGAGCTTTAAAAACAAAACTAAATAGAACCTATTAGGGTTGAGCCAGGAACCAGTGACTAGTGGGCACTCTCTTGGTGACAATATGTGCAGCTGGAGTTGAGAGCCAGTAAGTGAGACAGTCTCCCAGTGAACCTTTTTGACACTAGAGGAACATGGAGTTTGAGCCCTCTGTGCATATCACTGCATCTCTGCCTGGACGATTCAAAGCGACCCTTTATAAGACTTGGGTAAAAATGGCTTATTCAAGCACATATGAGTATTCATTATGTGCCAGGCACTGGTCCGAGTGCTGATGTCACTGCAGTGAACAAAACATGTCCCTGTTGCCCTGGCCGAGTTGCTCAGTGGTTAGACCACTGGTCCACAAACTGAAGGGTCATAGGTTCAATTCCTGGCCAAAAGCACATACCGCCATTGCAGGTTCAATCCCTGGTCCCGGTCAGGACTGGAGTGGGAAGCAACCAATTGATGTGTCTGTCCCACATAGATGTCTTTCTCTCTCCCCCTCCTCTCCCTCCTTTCCACTCTCTTTAAAATATCAATGGAAAAAATATCCTCGAGAGAGGATTGAAAAAAACCAACCAACAAAATATGTCCCTGCCCCTGGAGCTTCTGCTCTTAGCCATGGGAAACCATAAATAAGTAATGTCAGGTAATGATGGTAAACACTGTGGAAAATATGGAGCAGGATGAGTGGTCAGAGAGAATAGCAGTACTTTCATAGAGGCTCGTTTCAAAGATGTTCCCCATTTCCTTAAATCAGCCAATGCTCTGGAAACCAGCCTCCTCTGAATAAAGTCTGGGAACCTGAGCTGGCAGGCCAGCCAGGACTGAAGTAGGAACTCATGCTGCCCCTTACCTATAAGCAGAGGGCTGAGCAGTGTCCTGTGGAGCCAGGGGGACCCCAGAGAATGGAAGGCTGGAGGGGAGGAAGGCAGGACGGAAGGGTGGGGTCCTGGAACAAGGGACAGGCTGGGGCTGTGGATTCACACCTGGCCTAAGACCAGGGATCCGGCTGTGAACATGTTCAGGACAGGATGCCAGCTCTCAGTAAACAATTTTATGTTACGGTTGTTCCCCTCTTACACTAAGGATTCCAATGCGATTCTCATCACTTGAAAAAGATGACACACTTAAGTAGCCCAAACTTTCTGTTTCAAAATGTTTCTCTGTCAATGAACATTCTTTGTAGCTGCGAAGTGGATGTTTATTGAAATGAGTTGTCAGTTTCTTTAATAATATGCAGCATGAATTTCTTTAGTACCAGTAGGTGGAAAGCATGGCAGATATTAGAGCAAATATACACTGAGTGGCCAGATTATTATGATCTCTGAACGCATAATTGGCCACTCAGGGTATATCCTATATAATAAAAGGTTATTATGCAAATTGTCCCCTCGACCAGGAGTTCAACCGGTAGGCAGGCCGGCCAACTGCCCATGTCCCCACCCCCTGGCCAGGCTGGCCGGACCCCACTCACTGGGCCTTTGATGTATGTGTTTGGAGATCATAATAGTCTGGCCACTCAGTGTGTATTTAAGGAAAGGGGGGAAGGCTTCATCTGGAGCCTCTACTTCAGGCACTCCGCCAGGAAAGTCAGTTCCTGAGCTGAGTGGTCCCTTCCGCTGAGGGATCTTGCTTTGTAGCCTGAGATGTGGTTAAACCATCTGTATGCGCCTGTATGTAGCAGTCTTAGTAATGGGCATACCATTAGTCTCCATACGAGATTTCCTTAAGTGTATGGGAAGAGCACAGGGCGAGGGGCTTGATTCTAGGACTGAAATGAAATCTTAAGAAGGTAGACTCTCATTGTCTTAACCACTTGAAACAGTAACTTGAGCAATGAAATGAAAGATCGGGCATCTGTCGGTAAACGGATTGATAAAGCTACTTCACTCAGGTTGTCAGGCACGTCTGGGGAGAACAGCGGAGACAACCGTGGAGCAAGCGCTTCACACCGAGGTTGGGAATTTCATTTTCAGATCACAGAGATATCTCCTTTCGCCACCCTTTCCTGTGGTAACTGAATGCAAGGCACATCCCCTTTGCTGCTGTCTTTTTGTTCCTACACACAGTCCAAGAAGCCAAGGAAACCTAGTGCCGGAGCTCAGACCCTGGGTCTGGAGAGGGGACTCCGCAGGCAGCAGGCTGGGGCCTCTGCCCTCCTCCCCGCAGCCGGCAGCATCGCCCCTCGCCTGCACCTGCCGCGCGGGCTGCCGCCGGGCGGAGGGAAGGGAGGGAGCGGGCGCCGAGGGGCCAGCTGGGCGGCGGCAGCGGGGCGCCCACCGCGGAGAGGCTGCCTCCTTGGCCCCAGGGACAGCGGCGAGGGTGGAGCGCCGGGAGGGGGCGGGGAGGAGTCAGAGCAGCTGCGCGGCGGGTCTCCAGGGGGAGCCAAGGTATAAGGGCGGGCCCTGCACCGCCCAGAGCATCCTTTCCCCTCTGGACCCCGCCCGCCGGCGCGCAGCCCGGCTCGCTCTGCTCTTGCCTGGTGTGACTTCTTTGTGCTGTTTTCTGCCTGCGCCTCATCTCTGCAGGACCCGTTCGTCCTTCTTCGGGCTATAAAAAGGCAGATGATGAGATGTCCCGGGCCACGTCTGCTGGAGACCAGCCGGAGACAGCAGCCCGCACCATTTACCTCAACCAATCGCATCTCAACAAATTCCGTGACAACCAGATCAGGTAAGAGAAGGCGGCGGAGAGACCGAGAAACAGTGACTTCACAGCTGGGATGGGGCTCACCTTCCTCTTGTTAGCTTTACCACGCATCTAGTGTCTCTCTTCCCCCCTCCCCCCCTCAGTCTGCTTCCTCCAGCTCCTTACACTACTCTCCCCCCTCTCTCCCCCTAGAGCCAGCAGTCTACACCCGCTTTTCCAGTGGGGTCATATGTATTTAGTCTTTACTTTTCTCCTCTTTGCATCTATTCCTTGCTTAGGCAATGTGAGTCCCAAGAAAGTTTTTATTCAAAATGAGTTCTCATATTTTTCATCCCCGAGCTCCCTTCCAAGAACCACCGCCCTCACACCAAATCCTGTTTTAATACAGTTGATAACTCTTCTTAGCAATTTACAGACCATAATGTGGGAATCTCCTTTATAAAGGAATCCCACAGGTCAGAAGGACTCACATGCAACTCTGAATGGTCCAGGACATTTGGTAAGAGGTCTTTATTTGCTGGGAAACTTTGCCCAGAGTTAGCAGAAAGATGAATGGAAGCTAGCATATGTCTACTATTTGCTGCCCACTGTGTCAGATGCTTTAGCTATACTAGCTTTATAAATCCTCATAGCCTCCTGAAGAAGGCATTATTACAATAAGATCAGGAAACCGAGATAGCAAGGTGTTAAATAATGTATCTATGGTCATAGAACCCTGAATGGCAGAGCTGGAAATAGAACCCAGCCTGACTACTATGACTCAAATTCTTCCTGCTGTGGAAAGCTAGATCATTAGGCATCGGTGTTAATACGTTTTCAAATTTCATTAAATTTTCAGGCTTAGATAACATTATCTCTGGGAGTGACTTCAAAGGATGTAGTTCTGTGAGTGGCTCAGAATACCAAGTTCAGGTGTAGAGAAGTTAAGTGATTGGTCAGGTTACACATAGATTATTGACAAACCTGAATTCCAATTTAGTGTTATTTCTAGAAAGCTCTGGCTAAAACTTTGCTATTGTTATGTGTTTTAAGTATTGCACTAAAGCAGTAGCACTTGTATAGGCTGCTTAGCCTGACATCTTTATTTAGAAACAACTGGCTGTTGGACATTAATGTAGCTTGATAGGATTTGGAATAGAATAATGGTGCATATTACATGGACATGATACCTTCATTTATTAAGTGAATGTTAGGCTTTATTTTGGGTTTTAAGAATGATCATTGGGACATATACTTAAAAGAGTAGCTTAGAAGAATAGCTGAGACCAAATTCAAATAAAGAGTGAGCTTAGTTTAAGATATGAAGCATCAGCTACAATGAGTTACCATTTCACGCACAAGGATAGCTCTAACCAAAAAGACAATAACAACTGTTGATGAGGATATGAAGAAATTGGAATCTTTGTTGCTTGGAATGAAATATGGTGTAGTTACTTTGGGTAACAGTTTGGAAGTACTTCAAAAGGTTAAATTTAAAGTAACCATATGATCCAGTAATTCTACTTCTAAGTTTAAATAATGAAGAAAAAATGAAAACATGCCCACATAAAAACTGTACACAAATGTTCAAAAATGTTAATAGCAACATTGTTCATAATAGTAAAAAAGTGGAAACAATTAAAATGTCTATCAACTGATGAACAAATTAATACAATGTGGTATAGCCATACAGTGGAATATTATCCTATATAATAAAGAGGTAATATGCGAATCGACTGTCATGCCTTCACACAAGATGGCCACCCAATGTGGTTACAAGATCGTCACAGATCTTGTGGTCACAGATGGCCACCACTAGATGGCCAGCAGGGGAGGGCAGTTAGGGGCAACCAGGCCAGCAGGGGAGGGCAGTTGGGGGGGACCATCCCTGCAGGGAAGGGCAGTTAGAGGTGATTAGGCTGGCAGGGGAGGGCAGTTGGGGGCAATTAGGCTGGCAGGGGAGCATTTAGGCATCGATCAGGCTAGCACGAGAGTGGTTAGGGGGTGATCAGGCTGGCAGGCAGGCGAGCGGTTGGGAGCCAGCAGTCCCGTATTGTGAGAGGGATGTCTGGGTCCCATATTGGAAAGGGTGCAGACTGGGTTGTGGGACTACCCCCCTTTCCCCCAGTGCACAAAATTTGACCTCTAGTTTGATCATAAAAGGAATTAAGTACTCATATATACTATGACACGGGTGAACCTTGAAAACATACTAAGTGAAAGAAGCCAGTAACAAAAGGCTTCATATTATAGGCATACCCAGGAGATTTTGTGGGTTCATTCTGGACCACCACTATAAGTGATTAAGTATTACAATAAAATGAGTCCTAATCTTTTTGCTGGTGGAGATTCTTGTCTTCAATTAGTAAAAAAAAAAACAAAAAAAAACATCTGAGGAATGTAATAAAACAAAGTGCATTAAAACAAGGTGTGCTTTTATCTGATTCCATTTATAAGAAATACCCAGAAGAGGCAAATCTATTGAGACAGAAGATAGTTTAGTGGTAACCAGGGCTGCTTAAGGGGGAATGACTGGTAATGTGTGTCAAGTGTCATTTGGGGTAATGGTCATACAACTTCGTGTAAAAATATTTGAAATCATTTAGAATCCTGCACGGCCAATATAGCTCCATTTCCTTATACCTTCTAATATATGTTTCTATTGAATGACTTTTAAAAAGATAAAATTTCGCTCTAACTGGTTTGGCTCAGTGGATAGAGAACTGGCCTGCGGACTGTAGGATCCTGGGTTCGATTCTGGTCAAGGGCATATGCCTGGGTTGTGGACTCGATACCCAATAGGGGGCATGTAGGAGGCAGCTAGTCAATGATTCTCTCTCATCATTGATGTTTCTACCTCTCTCTCTCCCTCTCCTTCTCTCTCTGAAATCAATAAAAATATATTAAAAAATAAAAAGCTAAAATTTATTTGTAAAAAGATTTATACTGTATAAGGATATGGAATTGAAGAGTCACTTTTTTAAAACTATAGAATATTTTCATAAAATATTTAAAAAACACGTTAGTAATATTTTTGCTTAGTTCCAATTTAATTTTGGTATCCATTTGTGCATACTTAAAGTTGGGAGAATGAAATAAGGGTCTTTCTTTTTATCTAAATTCTCTAGTTTTCATGGAAAATGCAGATTTGAAAAAGAGGCCTCACAAACTATTTGAAACCAAGACTCAAAGCTGATTTTTGAGACTGATTTTATTATTAATCAGAGAGCTTTCAAGTGGCTACCTGTTTTACAGTTTGATTTGTACTTGTTTGAAGTAGGGAGAAATCAATATGGGAATGTACAGGTTGGCTTGGAATAAAGTAGGTAGATATAAATTATTCTATTTAAAGCATTGTGTAAGTGAATAACTAAATTAATTGACATGTAGTGAATATTAAAATTTATAGAATTTCTGAGCTCATCACTTAAACTATGAGCATAAATTTTAGAATGTACTGAATAGGATCCAATAAATTAAAATGTGCCCCCTGCTGTTCTATAAAATGGCTTTTGAATATTTGTTTCATCTCAACTGTGTATTTAAATAGGAATTGCTAATTGGTGATGTGAGTTACATAGATTATTAAGGGATTTATTATAAAGCTTCTTGGCATTGTAGTTTAAGGATTTTATAAAAATGATAAGCCACATTATTTTAGCACTTCCATATTGCTGAAATCAAGTTTCATAAAAATATTAATTTTTAAAATTGAGGCTTCTTAATGTTTGCTGAAAGTTGATAAAGTTATTAAAAGGAGTGTTTTCATAAAAGGGAGTCGATAAAGGTTTTTTTTCTTAATATAATTTTTCTTGAGAAAAGATTAATGTTTTTTTGTTTATTCTTTTTGGTGGCTGGGCATGGAGTATTTATCCGATTGTTTGCTTCTAACCTGAGCTGTTTGAGGAGAAGGGACCACGTGTGACAGATGAGGCTCATGCTAATTCATGGAATTATTAATATTTGGAAGCTCTCCACCTCAGGAGGCGGGCCTTGCCAGGGCAGTTTCTCACTTACCTTCCTTACTCCCGCCACTTTCTGGCTGGAACTGCGAGGATCATGGCAGTTAGCTTTTGCCTACTTTCATGAGCAACTGGCATTTTTGAATTCAAGGGAGATATCAAAGTTTGCTAAAGATGGAGATGGCTGCTGGGTGTCAGAGGTCAGTGAGGGTTGGTGTGGTAAATTCAGAACAGGAGATAAAGGTCTAGAGTTCATGTTTTGACCTGTATATCTAAGAAAGAGGCTAGGCCTGGTGAGTAGGAGCAAGAAGTTCACCAGATATGATAGACTAAAGCCTATAGGGGAATGGGTAACCTGGTAATCCCAAATTCCAAGCAATTCCTTGAAATTCTGGGAATGTCTATGCCATGGAAATGATGTTGCTGACACTGAAAATATGTTTTGTCTGAGCTGTGGCAAGATGTTTTCAAGGAGAAACTTCATTATCATAATTATGAAGTATGACATGTTTTTTTTCTCCTAGGCACTAATTTTCTAGGATCTTGAGAACAATAATAACTTTCTTCATTCTCTAGGAATAGTGATTAATAGAATATAGCAAAGTACATATTCTTGTCAAGGATGGTATAATATGTCTACCTAACAAGGTCCCTTTTTCCTGAAGTATACAATATCTTCTTTTAAATATTTCTACAGCTTTTTGAAATATAGTTCACCCATTTAAAGTGTATATAGTTCAGTTGTTTTTAGTATACTCACAGAATTGTAAAACAGCATCACAGTTAATTTGAGAACATTTTTATGGCTTCCAGAAGTCTGTGCCTTTAGCTGTCATATCTCTGCCCATTTCTCCCCCAGCTCTAAGCAAGCACTGCTCTATTTCATATCTCTTTAGATCTCCCCCTTTTGGATCTTTCCTATGAATTATTTAATTTCATTTTAAGTGTTTTAAGTTAAATATTAAATGTGTATAAAAACTTGCTATTTAGAGGCACTTGGTGGGAAATCTTTAATTTCAAATGTGTTAAATTAAACTCCCCACCCCCCCCCGAAAATATCTTGAAATAACTTACTGGAATATT